TGTAGAATTACATTCACCAGCTTTACTCCCCGTAATGAAGTTTGGTGTTGTCGAAGACACCGAAAAAGGAACGCATTTCAAACGATCTTTCATTATCACTCACAGATTTTATTAGTGTGGACATTATGTAGTAGATATTATGCATATAAAAAATGGATTACATTATAGATATTTGTGCAATGATGGGGGATTTAGAACCGGAAAATATTGTTTCTCCCGATTTCAATGTTAAGTCAACCTAACGCTGTTATATCTAGATCTTTGATTCTTAGAGCTTCCTCGTCTTCACCTATGGTCTCTCCTCACAAACGCTAAACTGTAATCCTAACACTTAACATAACCGTGACCCTGAATACCAACGCTGACACTAACCTCTCTTTAAAAATAGTTAGTAAACGTATGTATTAATCTTACCTTCACACTAAGCACTATCCTTCCTTAACTAATCAATATGTAGCTCACTAAATAATATATGATAATCTGCGTATCATGAAGATATTTTGACAATTTATTAGTTTACTCAAGTGCAATTAGGTCTTCTTAATCGAATAAATACCTCAAACAACTATCACAAAATAACTTGTAATTTCCCTGTTTAATTCCAGTTGATTAAAAAAATACAAAGAGATCTTATTTGAATTGTTCCGTTTGCACAATCATTCATCATGATGTGTTCATAAAATGTGATTGATGCATAAGGTTTATGTCTCCTGAAATAAAGTTGCGGTGGACGACGATACATCTTTTTTATCACAGGGTTCGTTAAGTCCTTTATGCTGACATTTAGTGCAACGGTAGATTTTATATGGACAAAACTTCTTGTAGTGCCACTCATAGCATAATCAGCACGAGGATGTAGGCTGTTTGTTTGATTTGTCCTGCTTACGTACAAAAGAATCTTCCTGGCCATTTATTACCTGTATGTGTGGTGACCGGTCACTGTTTTCAACCAGAGAAGTGTCATGTTTTAAGTTCATTAACCCTTGACACTCACTAGTCACTTGTAGAGTTTTATTTGGACACCGTTCAAATTTACTCAGAATTTTGGTTCTGATGTCGGCATCTTTAGGTGACTGCAAGCTGCATACAAAAACAAGACACTTAAACTGGTCTTCTGTTATTGCTGATAATTTCAAACGCTCACACTCGCAATTTACTATGCCAGTAAGTTTCACCAAATCTTCGTCTCCAGCATTTGCTAACTTGTTATTTTGGTAACTAATATTGAACAAAGATGACTGTTCATCAAAGAGTTGTGACAAAATTACGACCGTTACATCAGATGATAGGTCCCTGGGATTCTTCTGGAGAATGAAGTTGATGTAGCGTTTATGTCCAGCTGTGCCAAGTTTGTGTAGTAGTCCTCTTACCTCTGTGGCATCATCCAACTTTTCTAGGTCTACCTTGAATACATCTTCGTATTTCTTGAATCATGACTCAATTCTAACACCAGCCAAATCATCAAAATGAAATTCGTGAATAGAATTAATAATGTGGTCGACATGAGATTTTAACGGATCATCTTTAAGCCCCTTTTGATTTAGGTTCATTTGCTGGGTTAGAATTTCTAGAATACTAAACTAAAAGTGCTCGTAACGTTTTTCTTGACGCTCCAGCAAAGCTTCAACTAGGTCAAAGGTAAATGACATCTTCATAAGTTGACCCCGTCGCTAGTTGTTATATATAAAACTTAGATTCTTAATATACCACGTATAACTTGAGCACTCGGACGCTAGAACCTTCCAAGTCGCGAATCAGAACAGAACTGTCAGGTATTTATAGTTTTTTAGCAAAAGTAAAATCATCATTATAGTCATCCATTCCGTATACAGGGAATTATTAGCAATTGTCCAGTAGAGAAGCTACACATTGAGATTCTGAGAATATTCTTCCAAAAAGTGATTGGATGGAATATCTTCAACACTTTTAAATCTTGTTAGAACGTCTTTAAATTAATTTATGATCTATCTTCATATAGTTTTTTTAAGATGATTATATTGTTGAAATCATAAGTCAATTGAAGCTAGACCAACATGGAAAACCTAAAAGCATTGAACGACCGTTTCGCCCTAGTATGGAACTCCCCAGCAATGCGCATCCACGATCCGGACCCCCTAGAGATTCGAACCCAGGACCTATCAGTCTCGTGCGCGAGCGCTCAACCACTAGACAACTGTGCCGGCCAGTATTCAACGGCTTTAATGTCTAACTTCAATTAACTCATGATTTCAACTATTGAAATGATTAAAATCTCTACAAAACCCTTTCAGATAATTATAATGAATTCATAGAGTCAAATTTCATATCAATATTAATCATCAAATTGATAATTATAAAAAGATCTTATTCATTTGATTCATCAGCTGATAACATTAAATTCAATAGAATGGATGTCCTTCTAAAGAACACAGTGACATTCCCGTTTTTTTTCGTTTATTTTTCTGTCTTTATCAATAACACGTGATAGAAAGTCAACTTATTCTCTTTTTTTTCTTTTCTTTACTTTTTTCTTTGAAAGAAAATTATGAAACCATAGAGATAACAAGAAATAGAAAAGAATACACACACACAATAGTTACTGGTGAACAAAAAACAAACAAACAATGAAACTAACGAAAGTACAGTGTACTAAGACAATAAAAAAAAGTTAAATAAAACCTTGATAAACCTATAAAAAGTGTCTTTCTCTTCTTCATCATATTCTTCTTCCATTTAATTGACAAGGATTTGATTTGATTAACAAAACTTAATTGTTTAATCTTTCGAAGATTATGGAAGTTAAGTAAGTCAATGGTAACATTACTTGATAATATGATATTCGAATAGTTATTTTATTTATTCAATACATAAATAAATCGCCACTGTTTTCTATTCTGAGTCATATCTGATAGCATCTCTAGTCATTATGTCGTACCATATCTAGGACTCCAGCCATGGAGTGGTGAAGGACTGACCGAAGCCAGTTCTGTACAGCTTTCTTTCATACCACAACACTGTGTCATACACTGACCACCTCTCCGATTTTTCCAACCAGTCCCAGAGTCGGCAAATAATGCATAACGTGGAATTCTCTGGGACGACATTCGTAGAACATGTCGAAGCCACTGAAGTCAATGTTTCAAGATGGTGGCACCATTTGGATTATCGTCTCTGTGCCCAAACCTCTGCATTACTAACATTGTGTTGCCACTGGATTTCAGCAATCCTTCAGAAACAACGATGATCAAACACAGAGAGTCTTCTCAACTCGGAGAGGCCAGGTTTTACAGACATGAAGTTAAACCGCTCTCACCAGCGCATTGTAGATCCGACCTTTTACAACCAGACTGACATCACGAAGGCGCCAAAGGTGGCCCAGATTGTCATAAGCCGCTTTAGCTTTCATTATACGTGAATCGGTCTCATCACTCACGCCACCACCAGGACATTTGCAGCTACCCAGATACACGAACTTCTCGACTGCTTCTCTCTGCTCACCATCCAGGGTGAGTACAGGATTAGAATCCTAACAGTTTTGTAGAAGTACTTTGCACTTAGAAGGTGCAAAGCAAATACCGTACCTATGGATACTGATATTTGAATATATTATGTATTAAAGTATTGAATGGTTGGACAGTATCATGTTCATTATTGCTTAACACTTTTCAAATTTTAAAGATTAGATTTGTAATGTATCTACTTCACTTGATTTAGATGTTGAAAAATATAATGTCTCATGCTGGCATTTGTGTGTGACGAAATTTTAGCACTGATACAGAAGGCTCGACTAACTTTTGCCAACTTGCGTCATTTATGGCGTAGGCGAGATATCCATCTATCAACCAAAGGACGTGTTTGCTGCGCAGCAGTTCGTTCCGTCCTACTTAATGGCAGTGAAACATGGCCGGTATGAGTCGAGGATATTTGTGGGCTACTAGTATTCGATCATAGATGTCTTCGAAGCATTACTCGTATATCATGGTACAACCGAGTAAGTAATGAATTTGTAAGGAAACGGGTACTAGGTAAGGATGGCGCATCAGTTGATGAAGTAGTGAAACTTCATCAGTTGAGATGGCTGTGACACGTGTTACGCATGCCTAACCACCGACTGCTCCAACGTGCGATGTTTTATGATGTAGGAGTTGGTTGGAAGAAAGCTAGAGGCGGTCAGACCAAGACATGTCACAAATCCATGAAGTCACTGAGAAGTGACGCTCCAATTGTTATAGTAAAGGGTTTTACTGTTAAGGTAATCAAAAATTGTGATGACATTGTGATTCTTTATATGTATTATTCACTGTTCAATGTTATTAGCATTATGCTTTTTGTATATAGGACTAAAAACTGAGTTTAAATGTTTCACAATGTACTTTTTTCATTTCGATAAACTTTATTAAGATAACGTATACTGTTCTTTTTTTACATTAAACATAAATGTTACTATGCTACATCGATTAATTCAAAAGATAATGAAGGTACTAGAGATGTATATTACTACGATATAATGCATTTTGAAGTAATTAGTCCCATTTGATAAATTTCGGTAGTGTAACAAGAAGACAAAAGAAATATAATAGAGGGTAAGAAGACACAAAGATAGTCAAAAACAGTTTGAAACGTCATCACTCTGGATTACTTACTTGCGCCTGTTACTCCTCATGAAGGGGCTTGAGCCACTCACTAGCACTCTCCATCCAACCATGTCCTGGGCAATCCTTTCCAGTCCCTATTCATCCTTTTCATATCTGCTTCTATTTCTCGACGTAATGTGTTTTTGGCCTTCCACTTTTCCGCTTCCCTTCACGATTCAAAGTTGGGGCTTGCCTCGTGATGCAGTTTGACGATTTGCATAGTGTATGTCCTATCCATTCCCATCGTCTTTTCCTAATTTCCTCTTCAGCTGGAAGTTGGTTTGTTCTCTCCCATAGAAGGCTGTTGCTGATGGTATCCGACCAACGGATGTTGAGTATCTTGCGTAGACAGCTATGTATAAATACTTGTACCTTCTTGATGATGGTTGTAGTAGTAGTTCTCCAAGTTTCAGCTCCGTACAGTAGAACTGCCTTGACGTTCGTATTAAAGATTCTCACTTTGATATTGGTTGAAAGTTGTTTTGAGTTCCATATGTTCTTCAATTGTAGGAATGCGGCCCTTGCTTTGCCAATCCTCGCCTTTACGTTTGCATCTGAACCTCCTTGTTCATCCATCATGCTTCCCAGGTATGTGAAGGACTCTACATCTTCCAGAGTTTCGCCACCTATTGTGATCGGATTAGTGTTCTCCGTGTTGTATTTGAGGACCTTGGTTTTCCCCTTGTGTATGTTGAGGCCTACTGATGCAGTGACTGCTGCTACATTCGCTGTCTTTATCTGCATTTGTTCGTGTGTATGCGATAGGAGGGCTAGGTCATCTGCGAAGTCCAGATAATCTATTTGATTCTGAGCTGTCCATTGTATGCCGTGTTTTCCCTCAGATGTCGAGGCCTTCATAATCCAGTCGACCACCAGAAGAAAGAGGAAGGGGAGAGTAGACAGTTTTATCTGACTCCGGTTCTTACTTGGAATGCACCTGTCAGCTTTCCATGCACGAGCTTGCACTGTAGTCCGTCGTATGAGTTCCGGATAATATTGACAATCTTCTTAGGAACTCTGTAGTGTCGAATAAGTTTTCATAACGTTCTCCTATCTACACTGTCAAACGCCTTCTCATAGTCAATGAAGTTGATGTACAGTGACGAGTTCCACTCAAATGATTGTTCGACGATGATCCGTATTGTCGCAATTCGGTCTGTGCACGACCGATCCTTATGGAATCCAGCTTGTTGATCTCGAAGTTGAGCGTCTACTGCATCCTTCATCCGGTTCAGCAACACTCTGTTGAAGACTTTCCCTGGTATTGACAGTAGTGTAATGCCTCTGTAGTTTTCACATTTGCTCAGATCTCCTTTCTTTGGAATCTTGATGAGGTATCCTTCTTTCCAGTTCATCGGCACTTGTTCCTCCTCCCAAATCTTTAAGAATAGAAGGTGAAGCATGTTTGTATTTCTTTCGATGTCTGACTTCAATGCTTCAGGTGGTTTATTGTCTTCTCCTACTGCTTTCCTGCTCTTGATTTGTCAGGTGGCCGTCCTGATTTCTTCCGTCGTCGGTGGCATCACTCTGGATAATAGGGTAATATTATCAGAGTAGGTTTGTGAGTGAGAACAAACAAGCGTTCGCAAACCAGACCGAAGGTTCTGGGTACGAATTCCGTGGGCGAGACCGTGGATGCACACTGTTGACGAATCCCATAATAGGAAGAAACGGCCGTTCAAGTTTTCAATGGTAGTCTAACATCAATGAATTCATGATCTCAATCAAAAATTAAAATTATTGCAAACAAATAATAAAGTGCACAGTAATCGAAATTTAATTATTAATCTAGATTTACATGCTATTGTTTACTTCGAACTTTCCATTGATGTTTAACACTGCAATTGATCAGTGTCTTATTAGTGTATATGCATCCTGTGCGTATTGCTTCGATATTACCTTAGGTCACAAGCAATTTAAACAGAGATGGATAGTGGATAGCAGTGAAATCCAGTTTGATGAGCATTTCGTCTTATTTGTGATTCGTCAGCTATACGTACCTGCATCTCAGATGCTGGATTCCACTATTTACCACTATCCATTTTTGCTTATTATTAGTGTATTTTAATTAATCTGTTATTCAATTAACTATCGTATGTTATTGTTGTTGTTTTCTTTAGTAAACAAGTCAAATCACGATCAACCATTAAATATCCACTTGTAATAAATCCTGAAAAAGATGCAGAAAGAATCAATAAATCTATCAAACTTATGAGTAAGTTGTTGATGATCTTCTATTTAACGATTTGCCCATTAATCATTTATCATTGGTTTACTTTCTGTAATAGTTTATTTAAAGATTATTTCAGATCAGGCATCAGGTAGTTTATCATCAGTTGGGATAAGAAATTTGAATCTGCAACAAAAGATTTATCCAGTGGTTCTTGATTTTTTCAAAGTTCAATGGCTAAAGTCATCCCGCAATGAAAAGTTACAATGATAAACCATAAGCAAAGATGGATAGTGGCTAGTAGTGGAATTCAGTTTGACAAGCGTTTCGTCCCATTTGGGACTCTTCAGTTGGATGTACCTGCATCTCAAAGTTCATGATCACTCTAAGACTCGAACACACTACCGTCTGCTTCAAATCTATGACGCGATGATGTTTGGTCCGAAAGGTTGTAAAGGTTTTACATAAAATTACAGGACATAGAAATCGATAAGATTGGTCACAGGATGTGAAGAGTTTACATAAATTAAGAGAATTAAGTGAATGAAGACGTATGAGTGAAGAGGTAGTTTTGGTGTACCTAAGATGAGAATTAATTGTGGAAATACCACATAACAAAATAAACACTAATAAAATCATGATAGTGACAGAAATAATTTACGAATGTAGTGACTCGTCCGTTGAATGTACCTACATCTCAGAGTTGATAATTACTATGGAATTCAAACCCAGTACCCTTTGCTTCAAACGCCATCGCCTTATCCACGTGTTAGCTACTGAATCCTGATAGCCACCTGCTTGTGCTATTGAGTGACCGATTAATTACAGTCCTAAATAACAACTGGAAGATACAAGTAAAGCAACAAGAAGTGGAGACAAAACTTAAGTTTAGAATGATCCATCTTTACCATCCATTTAATAATAATCAAATACCCATTATTACTTTAAAGCTTCCACCTGTATATGATCGTGAATGTATACAGAGAGAAAGGTCAAAACTTTGAAAAAAAGTACCTGTTTATTGTCTACTTGTTTTTAATGACGCCCTGTTGATACTGAAAATTGTTTTCGAAAATAAGTCTTCTAATAATGGCAAAGGGTATTGATGTGCTTCAAATGCTTCGTTTAGTCCTGTCTAACAATCTGCACATAACCGGATATGTCGATTAGGATTTTTAACAATCACTATTGGTGCTGTCCAATCAAGAAAATTCACCGGTAGTATGATTCCACTCCTTTGCAGACACTCCAATTCTTGTTCAGCAATCTTATAATTAAAATATATTTCTTGACGCATAGTTCAATCGTACCAAGGTTGGACGATGAATTCTGATAAGCGGCCTATGCTCCTCTACGAGGAGGTAACCGGAGTAAGTAAGTAAGTAAGTAGGTAAATAAGTTCAATCGTACAACTTTAATAGTTTCTTTAGAAAAAATTATTGGCATTAACATTTTGTAGATCACTTGAGTTTGAAAGTTTATGTCAATTTTCTGGACTGGAAGTACAGGGGAATCCTCGTAAAGAAAATATTCAGGTCAAAAACATCGATGTCTAATATTTTAGTGTTCCAATCCTCTCCTTACATAAAAGAAATATTTCTCTCAGTTCCTCATCTTATATCACCCTTTTCACATCAGTATTTATTACTACACGTTTGCTTTTGTTCGTCAATGATTAAACAGAAAAATTCATGATATCTATACTTATAATCAATAATTTAATAGTTGAATTCATGAGTCAATTGAAGCTAGACCATCATGGAAAACCTAGAAACACTGGATGGCTGTTACTTCCTAGCATAGGACTCCTCAGTGGTGCACATCGACGATCTCACCTCACGAGATTCGAACCTTGGACCTATCAGTCTCGTGCGCGAGTGATTAACCACTAGACAACTGAGCCAGCCGGCATCCAACAGCGTTAATGTATAACTTCAACCAATTGACGAATATATAAATATAAAAGTATTATCTATATACTGCAACGATACAGAATAAAACATGTAATATTCACTTCATAATCTGAACATTCGATGTTTGAACGGTGTAACGTCAATCTTCTGTAAACATCTAAACCTTTTCGGTTGATCATATACTTGAGGAATAGTCACATTTAAAATAAAAACTCACTTAATAAGTAGTTTCAAATAAGTAGTTTACCATTCTTACTTATCTAATCTTTTATTATTTATCCATTATAGATCCTGATGAAGATGTTATTAATGAAATACTTGGTCACAGAAGTCTTCAGCAACGTTTAGCCATACAAGAAATATATAAACGTTTATATGATAAGGTATTTTAAAGTGAAATTTACTGATTTAGTTGTTTAAACTGTATATTTCTGTAAACAATTTTGTGGATTAATGAAAGTTAGACAATAACACTATTGGTTGCTAGCCGGCTCAGTGGTCTAAAAGTTATGAGTTTATGTGCGAGACTGATAAATCCTGACTTAAAATCTCATGAGGCATAATCGTGGATGCACACTACTGAAGAGTCTCACAATAGGACAAAACGGTCGGCCAATACTTCCACGTTTTCCATGGTGGTCTAGTTTCAATTCACTCATGCTCTCAACTATTAGAATTACTCTATTTTTCACACAAACCCCTTCTGAAATAAATTAGTCGAATAATAAAACATTTATATTTGTACTTTTACAATTAGTAATTTTCTTTATCTCAGTTAATTAAATAGTGAATGGTTACCGGATCATAAGAACCCTTTTTTACCATACTTGTTTCTTCATGATGTGATTCATATTTTTGGTGGTCAGTTATAGTCTAATGAACGAGAACACAAGTGCAGGACAATCGAATGTATTTAAACATACAAATTACAGAAACTCTTAGTAAAATCAAAGAACCATATAGTAAATACTTCATTTGCAAAATGTCAATCAATCATCTTAGATTTCATTGTTCTTTAGTTTTTTTCGGTCTTCTTAACGTTCTTCTGCCAGGTATTTCACTTTCGACTGGTGATACATACTACTTATATCTATCAATATCAGTAGCACACACAATACTACTAAAAACAGTTACTTAATGTTTAACCCAAATGAGAATAAAGGTCAGAAATTGATATTAAGAACACATCAGGTATTAAAAAAAACGTACTTAAATGCAACGATTTATGCACTGACTAAAAATGATAAGAGATATCGTCGGTTAACACTGGAATTTTGCCTTACCGTATAGATGAGACAGAGAACTTGAAACAGAACAAAACTGATCACCTTCATAATGCAACCAACACAGTTGAGGATGGTTTATTTCGAATAAAACAACAACAGCAACAACGATGAAACTGATTATTGTAGTAAGCTCATCTGCCCATTGTAATAGGGACACTTGACCCACCATGTAATTTTCTGTGTGAGCCTGATTGAGCACATGTCAATTTCTAATCTATACTCCCATTGGTTGTAATACACAGAAAATCAATTATTTATCTATACCTGATTAACGCTCATAAATATATATGAACTTTTAACACACTCTCTTGGTTTCACTGTGTGCTTGCTTCCTGTACGCTTGCAGATTTTACCAATCTTCAACAGTAAACTATCTCTATAACTGATGTTCAGGCTTTTGGATAATCTCGAGTAAATCCATAATTCTACTAGGAGATTCAGCCTGCATTAAATACCCAGGTAACGGGATACCATTTATGAGAGTCAAATATAAGGGAAATTAGCCTCTACATTATCTCAATACTGATCTGTATCCATAGATTGCATCGAGGAACATCTTAAAACATTCTATGGAACTAGAAAATCTACAAAACATCATTAGGTGTAAATGTTATGATCAAGAGATATCAAATTAGCTTAGATCTTATAATAGAGAATCGAACACAATGGCGTCGGTGAATACCCTCTTTGTCTTCCTTTCAACTATGAGATTAAAATTGCTTTATATCTTTCTTTCTGTGCACTAATTCTTCCTTCCTATACTATACCCTTATATACAGTCTTTCTTTTTATATATTATCACCATTGAATTAACTACTTCGAGGAATTTGGTATTGATCTTGCTGTACTAATGAGGAATGGCAACTTGGATCGATGCATATATGTGCATGGTTATACATTGTAGCTGACTGACTGTTTGAGAGAACATGAGTAAAAGAGGCATCATTTATATGATAAATATCACATTTTCACAGCCAGTTACACATTTAAATACTGAAATTGTGTCTGATGCAGATTATATGTTCGAATCTGTTTGAATTCACTACAAATACGCCAAATGAATTGTTTCTTATACTATTTTATACGGATATACATACTAAGATAGCAGCAAACACTATATCATAAATCGTCAGAAACTTGACTTTCTACTCATTAAGATATTATAAATATATTATGGTTGAACTCATGAGTCGATCAATGTTAGACCACAATCGAAAATCTGGAATCAATGCATGGCCGTTGGACTTCTTATCAGTGTGTACCCACGACTTCACACTCAGGATTCAAAACAAAGACCTTAGATTTCGCACGTCAGCGCCTAACCTATAGTCCGCTGAACTGGAATCCAACGGTGTTAATGTCTAACTTTAGTCGATTCACGAGTGACTGCGTAACCATTCATCCATTACCTGAGGTAGATACCTGTTTCTAACCGATACGGATTAGACTCCACTAAACACGGCTTCTCACTAGAACTCCGAGAATTCCCTCACAAAGCTAGTCATTAGTGAGCATTTGATAATTATCATTAACAGGGTTGTGTAGATTATTAAGTTATTGATTGAGATCATGAATCGGTTGATGTTAGACCACCCTGAAAAACTTGATAGCACTGAACAGCCGTTTCGTTCTATTTTGGGTTTCCTCACCAGTGAGTATCCACGATCTCGTCTAGAGGGATTCGAACCCAAGATCTATTATTCTCACAGGCGAACTCTTAACCTTTAGATCACTGAGCTGACATCCTACATAAATTATAAAAACTATGCATCTTATTCAAATCAATCATACAAGTAATAATGAATCTCTATGCTTTACACACACCTATTCATTTCATTTCTTATTATAGGAAATCACTGAACATATTGGTTCTGTATTAATTGGCAGTTATGATAGTTTAATTAAAACTTTATTTAGAAATCCAATGGAAATATTAGCTAATGATTTATATAAAGGAATCAAAAATCTTGGATCAAATTATCAAATTATGACTGATATTATTTGTTGTTGTAATAATACTGAAATTTATTTACTGAAAAAAGCTTATGAGAAAGGTGAGTTATGTAATCAGTTATTATTTTTTTAAATAATTTTATTGAATATATATTGAGTACAGTGATCAGAATACATTTCGTTGTTGATTGAGATCAGAAACCGATTAATGTTAGACCACGGTTGGTAACCTGGAAGCACTGGACCTCTGCTTCGTCCCGTTGTGAGATTCCTCAGCATTGCGTGTCCAGGACCTCGCTCGCGGGTTTCGAACCCAGGGTCTTCAGTCTCGTGCACGAACGCTTAACCTACTGAACCATTGAACCGGCATCCAATGGTGTTAATGTCTAACCTCAACCAATCCACGAAATTGCGTGACCATCTTCCATTTTACTGAGGTAGATACCTGTTCTTAACCGATAGGGATTAGACTCCACTTGACGCGGCTTCTCATTAGAACTCCGAGAATTCCCTCACGAAGCTAGTCACCAGTGAGCACATGTTAATTACCACCATAGGGGTTTTGGAGATTATTAATTTTTTGATTGAGATCTTGAACCGATTGATGTTAGACCAGTGCTACTTGTTAAGGCATGCATATATGGAAACTAATAGGTCAACTCTAGATAGGTTAATCAGTATTAGCAGGGTAGGTTAAGGATAAGAAAACATTGTAAATGAACACATAAATAGGCTTGCAGTTTCCGTATTGCCTAGGCTTCAATAAACTTTAGTATAGCGTCAGGTCATCACTTGTTGGTCGCCAAGATGAAATCGAAACTTAAGAAGCACTGGACGACGGGGTGGACAATATCACAAAAGTTTAATACGGCCTTTCTTCGAGATACTGACACACTCAACAAATTCAAGATCGTCCTCAGCAATAGATTCCAGGCCTTTCATGATACACTCAATGGAGAAGGAACTACTATGAAGAGCAACTGGAAAAGAATCAAAGAAGCAATCACTTCAACATGTCATGAGGTCCTGGGTCACAAAAAGCACCATCACAATGAATGGATCAGTGTTGATACACTGGATATAATTCAAGAAAGTAGGACCAAGAAGGCAGCAATCAATACCAGTCGAACAAGAGCAGAAAAAGCCAAGGCACGAGCTGAATACACAGAAGTAAACAAACAAGTGAAGAGGAGCATCAGAACCGACAAACGTAAATATGTGGAAGATCTTGCAATGACAGCAGAAAGGGCTGCAAGAAAAGGAAACACGAGACAATTGTATGACACGACAAGGAAACTCTCTGGAAATCGCCGCAAACCAGAACGACCAGTGAAAAGCAAGGAAGGCAAGGTAATCAACATTGAAGAGCAGCAAGACAGGTGGGTAGAACACTTCAAAGAACTCCTGAATCGACCAGCTCCACTAAACCCACCCAACATTGAAGTAGCACCCACGGACCTCCCAATCAATGTTGACCTACCAACAATTGAAGAAATCAGCATGGCCATCAGACAAATCAAGAGTGGCAAAGCAGCAGGACCGGACAACATTCCATCAGATGCACTGAAAGTAGATGTAGCGGCAACTGCAAGGATACTCCACATTCTCTTCAATAAGATTTGGGATGAGGAACAAGTACCAACAGACTGGAAAGAAGGACAACTAATTAAGATCACGATCCTGCTCTCAGGATCATACTTTACTAATCTAGTCAACTGATGATAACACTTCACATTAACCCAATATCATAGTTATGCACTAATATTCACTTCAGATATGTTTAACAAAATAACATTTCAATAATTGAGATCATGAGTCAATTGAAGGTAGACCAGCATGGAAAATGTGGAAGCCTTAAACGGTCGTTTTTGTCCTTTATTCTTAAACTAGTCGTTCACAGATTGTTTTATGAATGATGCTCATCAGGATCCAAGCGTAATTTTTGTTCGTACGTTTTTTTTACTTTTTGCTGTTCATTCTGCAATCATCCCTAAAGAATAAACATTAATTTTTTTTTATTTTTTATCTTTTCTAGTTTTAATGAAGGAAGATCCAAAAGGTAAATAATAGATAGTTTCATTTTATTGATGGTGATAAAGTACTTTTTCATTATGAATAATTATTTTTAATATCAAAAGAGGGGGATTAGTGGATATTATAGTAATTTTAATAGTTGAGATCATGAGTTTGTTGAAGCTACACCACCATAGAAAACCTGGAAGCCCTGGATGGCCGTTTCGTCCTATTGTGGGACTCCTTAACAGCGCTCATTCACGATCTCATCCTGCGAGACTGAAAACCAGGATCTGTCGATCTCGCGCGCGAACTCATAACATCTAGATCGCTGAGCTGGCTGGCATCCGATGGTGTGATTGTCTAACTTTAACAAATTGACGAAATTGAACGACTTATTCACCATTATCATCAATGAGACTAGAATTTTATGGACAAGCCAATCAGACTTAGGGTAACATTTTTTGGATTTCGCTTCAAGTGGATAACGTGACGGCGTTTCAAGCGAACGATACTATGTTCGAGTCACAGAGTGAACATCAACTCTGACGTGCAAGTAGACCTATCTAACGAGTCCCAAATAGGACAAAACGAGTGTCAAACTGAAATCCACTATCCATCTTTGCGTAAAAAACTTGTGACTTAATGCAATACCGAGGCAATGCGCACAGGATGCACATATGCTAATAAGAGACTGATCAATCGCAGTGCTAAACATCAATGGGAAGATTTAAACAAACAATACCAAGTGAATTTCATTATGTGTTTGTTGTAGATCCATACTGCACTCAATAGTTCAATCTGAATTGTTTCAACTTTAATAATGATTATGTTAATAAGGTTTAATAAACGAAAATTCTAGTTTACCTAAATTTTTCAAAGTACTGTACAGAACTTTATCACTAAGCAAAGTAAATCTAACTTCTACCACATGTATATGTAATTTCGTTCTTCGTAGGCTATAGACAGAGGTCATTACACATTGATATTATGAAAGAATCTAAAGGCTCATATAAATTACTTATGGAACAATTATTAAAAGGTGAAAGATGTGAAGATAATACAACTAAAACTGCTGATTCGACGTCTACAGTTCATGGAGGTGTTGATCAAAAATTAGTTGATGATGATGTAACAGAATTGTATGAAGCAGGAGAAGGGTGAGTTCATCTATTAAGTAATTATAAATCACAATAAGTTCAGTCAACTCAATGAGCTATGTGTTTTGTTGTCATAGTAACTGATCTGTAATTATCAATATCTTTATGTTGTATCACCATGAAGTAAATACAAACGTTTACAGTTTATCCTAAATGTTTCCTGAAAAACTCAGTATAGTTAAAGTCCAACTAAATATCTGATGTTATACTGTTAAGATGGTAGAGAAAATTTATAGCCCAGTTGAATGATTCATCCACTTGGATCCATTCAGCTTAGAGAAGACAACTTCATCAAAAAGTTATACTGTTAAGAAAGCTAGATTACGTATAATAAGAATGGATAAGGTGAGTAAATGTTGTATAAATAGAAGAGAGAAAAGTAGCATATTATGTTTAATGATTAGTAAAAATCAGTTGATCGTTAAGAAACAAAAACTCTTTCCATATAAGCAAAGATAGATGAAGGTTAGCATTGGAGTTTAAGATGAATGTTTCGTCCTATTTAAGACTCGTCAGTTGGATGTATTTCACTGATTAACATTTTTAACCAGAATCATATAAGTAATCATTAGGTAGTAACATATTCATAAGACAAATTCAAGTAAATAGTTTAGCAAATAGAATTGTCTTTTAACAATTTCATATTAAATATCTGATGAGACTATAATTCATGAACAAACTTTGAGTGATGCCAAAGTAACTTTGAGAATGTCTACCTACCAACTAGGACTAAATGAAGGTTATAAACCAGTGTGAGGGGCTAGAATTATGATTTAGAATTGATAGTTAAGGTTAGGAATTCGATTTATGATTTTCAACACGAACTGACATAAGCTAAAATGCCAAGACGCTGTTTAATTAAATGGATGATTGAATTTCGCGCCGATATCCAAGACCTGTTATCATAAATCTGATTGGTTCGTCCATAAATTATAATCTTGCCAAATTTCTTTGTGATGATATGTTTGTGCAAACTAACAACTCACAGAATTATAATATGGATGTATATAATAAGTGAAATTATGAGGGAGTATTTTATATTACTAATTATTAAAGTAGATGATGAACTAAATCAACTAAATCAACGGGCAAACTATGAAATATAGGGCATATTTATTCGTACACAAGGGCACCGAATAGATATGCGCTACACAAGTCATTTGATTCGTGTGTAGGCTTTGATACTCCCCGGTTGCCCAAACAGAAGCAGATGGTTTTCGTAGAAAGCCACACCCCGAGCCTATAAGGCGGTGGAGCAACATCAAAAGATGCAGTCCTATGTTAGCCGTTGGCCAACAATTGGTTCATACTTCATTTGTTCCCCTAGAATCCTGGAGTCCAAGTGTATCATTGATTTGTAATCAAGATTGTCCAACTTCTCTCAGTGAGTCCTTTGTATTCACCAACATGGTTAAAGCGCCGGACATTCGTTTTTCATCCTCTCATTCTCGTAAACAACAATAATGCCACGAGAAGGAAGTGAGTAGCACTTCCTTGAAAATGGCTGTATACGCGTGTTCATGTGAGAGAATCTCTGGAGAGAAATCTGACTCTGTCCACATTTGGACGTACTAGGGCATTTGAGGTGTAAGACTAGTGAATTTTCGTTACCTAACAGTTTAGAATTTTACTGGATGATATTCTTATTGTGTAAATCCTTAGAACCGGTTATTATACCGTTATAATCTATTCTGTTCAGAAGTAATGTTATGAACAATTGACTATATTGAGTTATTCTTTATATTATAAGCTATTAACTATACATAAGACATATTCAGTTATATTTATCTCAACTCCATTGATACATCTGTACATTGTTTCTAATAAAATTATTTATACAGACAAATTGGCAAAGGGGATCCTTCTATTTATATATCGATTCTGTCAAAACGTAGTAAATATCATATCAGAGAAATATGTAAAGCATATCAAAAAGTAAGTTTATCAATCATCTAAATAGTTTTATTCACTGATTTTAACTAACAACTTAATGATCGTGAATGAGCCCTATTGAGCAGTCCCATACTAGAATGAAATCGTTGTCCAGTGCTTCTAGGTTGTTCAGGATGGTCTAGCTTTAATTGACTCATGAATTCAACTATTCAATTACTACAATTTCCACAAACCCTCATTCTGACAATAATCAGCATGTATTCACTAGTGACTGAATTCAAGTTGTGTTTCCTTGAGTTTTAGTGAGTAGACGTGATCAGTGGTGTGAATAGGTGTGTGTTGCGAGGCAGTTACTCACTCAAGACAATAGTGGACGGTCGTGCAATATCATGGATTACTTGAAATCGGACATTAACACCGTTGGATGCCAGCTCAGCGGTCTGGAGGTTAAGCGTCAGTGCACGAGTCCGATGGATTGTGGGTTCGAATCTCGCGGGACGGGGATGCGCACTGCTGAGAATTCCCATAAGAGGAAGAAACAGCTGTTCGGTTCTTTTAGGTTCTCCATGGTTGTCTAGCTTATATCGACTCATGAATTCAACCATTGAATTATGAAAATTTCCGCGAACTCTTATTCTGAAAATAATTAGTGATCAAATTTTTATGGTAAAATGTTAATTACTTCTTCTGTAATTCTTAGAAGTAGAAGTTAAACAGTCGGAATATCTTAAATTCACTTGGTGTTGTTTTACTTGTATCTTCCCATTGATGTTTAGGATTGCAACCGATCACTCTGTTATTGTTATATGTGCGTCCTGTGCGTATCGCCTTAAGTCACGAGGCTTTTACGCAAAGATGGATGGTGGCTAGTAGTGGAATTCAGTTTGACAAGCGTTTCGTCATATTTGCGACTCGTCAGACGGATGTGCCTGAATCTCAGAGTTGACGTTCACTCTAAGACTCGAGCACAGTACCGTTTGTTTCAAGTAGATAACGCGATGACGTTTGATCCGAAGGGTTTTAAAGGTTTTACATAAAATTACAGGACATAGAAATCGATAAGATTGGTCACAGGATGTGAAGAGTTTACATAAATTAAGAGAATTAAGTGAATGAAGACGTATGAGTGAAGAGGTAGTTTTGGTGTACCTAAGATGAGAATTAATTGTGGAAATACCACATAACAAAATAAACACTAATAAAATCATGATAGTGACAGAAGTAGTTTACGAATGTAGTGACAGGTTAATTACTGTCTCTTTCTGGATATATAAATCAGGTCTCAATTTATTTATTGCTTTTACTTCGCCAAACCGAAGAGGCGCCTCGTCGATTTATCTGTTAATAGTTTTGAAGGCTTGTAGAATGTCAACAGTATAGACCGGTGTCAAGTAAACGTCGAGCTCTTTAGAGTCAGTGCGCCTCTCAGTCCCAAGTTCTTTGGAACGTGTTCGAAAATGTGAAAGCCTCTCTCTATTCTTCCAATGTATATTCTTTGGTACGTAAGTGTAGATTGTTAAATGTAGTCAGAGGAATCGTCAAATTTGGTTTGTTTGAATGAGCAGTTCGTTTCACATAACGTCATCAGTTTTTCTGACGGATAAGCGTTTAGCTGAAGTTGGGTAAACATTTGTTAAATCTATAATTTAGCTACTGAAGTAATTTAAGTAGTTTCGAATTTATTCATTATGGTTTAATAAATGGCATAATTAGTTCACTTAATGTGATTAATGAGACATAACATAACCGAAGTATATAATATTGTCATTCTTTGTATATCTCCAACTACTTTTAAAAGTAAGAATACTTGCCGGACCCATGAAAAAGTTCATGCGGTAAGATTATAACTCATGGACGACCTCTAAACAACGCCAAACTGACCATGAGAGTGTCCGTCTAATAACTAGGACTAAATGAAGGTTATAAACCAGTGTGAGAAATTAGAATTATGATTTACAGTTTATGGTTAATGTTAGGAATCAGATTTAGGGTTTTCATCACTAACTGACATCATTTATCATGCCAAAACTCTATTTAACCAAATGGATGAGTGAATTTCGCACCAAAATCCGAGTCCTGTTATCTTATCCCTGATTGGTTGGTCCAGTAATTATAGTCTCGCCGTTGATGCTTCTTTATAAAAATTCAGTCATCCCTAATGATAAGTTGTTTTATTGATACTTCATTCGAGACAAAATGTGGTAAACATAAATCATTTCTATTCAGAATCATTTAAATCATCTTACTTGGACAGAGAAAATAAAAGTGATCATCCTAAAGTGTGTTTGTCTATGGGAAGAGTACTTAGGCGATATTTATAAGACAAAACACTTTCTGGATATTCTACAGAGAAAGTATAATCCATTTATAAGTAAGAGATAGACGAATTGAAAAATGACTCCGTTTTGATCTTACTACATGAATAGAGCTGTCCAGTATAAGTTTTAGTTTAAGGACGTTAACTAACATAAGACGCTTTTTAGTACACTGAATACATACAATAATTCAATAATAATCACACTAAAGTGCAAAAGAAAGGGAAAAATAACCCGAAACATACTCATAAAGAGAATTATGGTCAAGGAAGATTGAGAGGTTGAATGAATCGTTTCTGCATGCAAAGATCGGGCTTGAGTTCGTGGATTGCCAATGCCTCAGCAGTGCATAAACTATTGATTCAACATTCCTTCGATCCAATTCTTTTGACTCTGTAGATTACTTTAAAATAAAAAACGTTTGGATCGATTTGCCCACAGTTGATCATTCAATGGCATTATGGGTTATCTTAATTACAATTCCTTTAAAAATTAATACTACTACTACTACCACCATTCAATATTTGGTTTTATTTTAGAAATATGGTTGTCTCCTAGTTGAATCAATATCAAGAAAATTCTCAAACCCTCTTCGTAATGCATTAAATACTATCAGTGAGTGAATTATATCTTTTCAAGTTTTATTATGTTATGATAATACTATTACCATGGAAGCATCAATCATCTATGTTTGTACTTTTACTGTTATGTAACTAGTAATACTGTTCTTATAAACAAATAGTAAGATTGAACACTAAGAACTTACATTTAATATTCAGGTTTAATAAAGTGGTTGACTTTGTTGAATACTAATTACATTCAATCCATGAATCATTAGATTTGTAAAACTTTAATAGCTTTTGTCCAAGTAAACTGGAGTTCGTTTCAAGTCCATAAAGAATATTTTGAACTAATACTAGGGAACCATATTCATTCAATCAGATGCCATTTTTATATGCAACTTGCTATATATTGAAAACTTTTAGATATCTCCTAATCAAACAATAACGTCTATTTATGAAGCAAAAGATACTGTCAACTACTTGTATCAAATAAGCACATAAAACTTTATAGATCTACATTAAAATGCGGTGTTAAACCACTGTATGAAATGATAAAGTTTGTTTATTTGTTTGAACAAAGAAATATTGGTACAAAGAGGCATCGAATACATATGCGCCACATAAGTCACTTCATTTGTGTGTGGGCTATGATACTACTCGGTTGCCCAAACCGAAGCAGGTGGTTACCTTACAGGGTCACACCCGGAGCCTTTGATATAAAGGTCTGATCCACAAGAGAGTGGAGCAACGTAATGAGATGTAGTCTCATGGTAACCGGTGACCAATAATTGGTTCACATGCCATTTGTTCCATCAGGATCCTGGTTTGAAATCAAGGTTTTCCAACTCTTCTGAGTGGTTCCTCCATATCTACCAACCCGAGTGAAGCTCAGGACATTCGCTTTTTGTCCTCTAAATTTCATAATCAACAGTAATGCCACGAGAAGGCAGTGAGTAGGACTTCCCTGACAGTGGCTGTATACGCGTGGCATGTGAGAGCATTTCGAAAGGAAGAGCTGACTTTCTCAACCTCGACCGTATCAGAGTATTTGGGGGCAAATCTTGAAGTGATGCATATTAAGCAAGTAACTCAAGAGTGATATTTCCTGCTTTGATTCTTCGATATAGGTTAACAGTAGTTGTGTAGTGTATGCTACTTATGACAAAATAATCAGTATATAACACTAATCAGAGGTGGAATGCCTGGCAGTAAGAGGTTGGCAACATCAAATCAAAGAGAATAGAGACAGAGAGTAATTGTTATTGCAGTTAAGGGACTATAAAGTTTAAGATAATTAATAGAGGATTTGCAAATGAAGTAATAAACGTATAGTTTTCAAATTTGACGAAAAAACTCGGTGATTTTATATTAAAATACATTTAGTTGTTGCCACCGGTGTTCTCATTCATTACATTTGTCCTGGAATAGGAACTGATCACGGAGACAAGCATTCTTCCAACTAATCGAGTGTTCGTACAAAATACGAGCCTAGCATCATACATAAAATGTGAGGGCGTTATTTATCACGCTCCTAAGTTGAAATAGTACTATTTATTCAGTGATGAAACTCTTTAACAGTTGTACAATATTAGAATTCAATTGAAGTTAAACATATCAAACCGATAGAGGCTGGCTAAATGATTTAAACGTTAAGCGCTTGCTTCATGACCGGGAGTTTTTAGGTCCAATCCTCGGTACAGTCCTGTATATGAGCTAGTCGGGAGTTTAATTTTGATAAGAAATTAATGTTCACCGTTACCTGATTTTTAATAGTTCTCCAATCTATATCAGTCTATGATAAATACTACTAGCTATTCAATCTTAGAACATATACAGTATGTAATATCCATGTTGTATTAAATAAGTTAGAAGTGTATAAACTACTTAAATGAAAGTAATGAATACTGTATATACACAAAACAAATTCAAATCTTGTTTTTTTATTTTTGTTCGTTTTACTCTGAAGTAATGGCACTAGTCGATCTACGTCTATTATTGACCTGTCAACTTTACTGTAGTATGGAAGGTTTAGGATCAAATGATGATACAATTATTAGAATAATTTGTCTTCGATGTGAGGTAAGATACGATGAAATTGATGCATAATGAAAGAGAAGTTTTTGTAAAGAGTAGTTTAAAAAAATCAATAATAATAATAATTCGGACACAGTACCGTTCGCTTCAAACGCCATTGGGTTATCCACTTGAAGTGAACAGTACTGGGTTTGAGTCCCAAAGTGAACATCAACTCTGAGATGTAAATACATCCAGTTGACGAGTCCCAAATGTGGCAAAACGTGAGTTCTAGATTCCGCTGCTAGCCAGTGTCCATCTTTGCTTATAATTAACCATTTAGTTGCGTAAACAAAGTGTCTCGTACCAATAATCAAGATTTTACAGCAGAACTCTTCATTATCTAACCGATTTCTATACTGAGAAAAAATGACCTTTTCTTTTTTTACGTTGAGCACGTCAGTTGCATTGGAAGAATATGCACAGCTGGATCGGTTGTACTGAATTTATGTAGTTGGCTGACAATAGATTATTAATCTTTCTTTTTCTTAAGTTTCCCCTAATTAAGTCATTTAAACAATGTAATACATCTTATGTTGTTTTGTTCCGATAATGTAAATGAATCAGATCATCATTAACTAGATTCATTCGCCGTCATGCTTTATCACAAATTCTGTGGCAGGGAAAGTTCAATTTAAATTTCTTTTAAAGAACCGCGCATTCGGTGATACCTGGAGCTTCCCTTTTTGATCCCTTGATAATGTTAAACAAGAATGTAATTAGTGTTGACTTTCTCTGTTTTTCAGTGGTTATGTATTTGATATCAGTTTATGATGAGAACGAATATAAAAGTTATATACACTGCTGAATATTGGATTAACTTGCGATATATGTAGGCGAGTAAGTAATGCAGTTGTTAGGAAATGGGTACTAGGTAAGGATGGCAAATCACTTGATGAAGTAGTGAAACTTCATCAGTTGAGATGGCTGGGACACGTGTTACGTATGCTCAACCACCGACTCTCCCGACGTGCGATGTTTTATGGTATAGGAGTAGGTTGGAAGAAAGCTAGGGGTGGTTAGACCAAGACATGTCACAAATCAATGAAGTCACTGACAAGTGGACTGAGTCATGTTGGTAGGTGTAGACTACCTGATTGAGATCCACGAGACGATAGCAACCGATGATTCGAGACTTTGAATGTCATAGCTCGAAATCGTTTGAAATGGCGCAGATGCATCCTCTCTTTGTATTCTTCCGAATTCTAATCTTCTGAATTTTTCATATCCGTTTCTTTCTCTTTCTAAATTTATTTCACTGGATTAAATTCCTTGAATAACATCTTCAAACCTTAATCTTTCCGATTACTGCTCATAATTTTACTACCTCTACCACTACGGGATTTGCATTGACAATTGTATCTCTGTGATGATGTGGTATGGCAACTCGAACTGATGTACATATGTACGCATGAAGTTCTACGTTGTTGCCAACTGCCAGACTATAATTTATGGATGAACCAATCATCCATAAATTATAATCTCACCTATATATACATAGCTACCTATTTTAAAGTAATCACCAAGTGAATATCAATAATAATTCAGTGAAAAATTCAATGAAAACAAAATATCTAAATTGTAAATTGTAACTGATGACTTCATTTTGAAGTTTTTTTGTTTTGATTTATGAGATCAATGGAAAACATCATGGAAACATGTGATTGATTTTCAATGAATGATCTAATTGGTATTTAGTGTATTACAATGATTTCTATGGGTCTTGATTAACTATTTGAACTATGAAAACCAAATAGATTTATGAGTATAACAATGTATATAGATATGCGATAGTATTTGAATCTGGTTGTCGATTGGATTATGAAGATTTCGACATCTGAAGGGAAGCATGGAATACAATGGACAATTCGGAATCAATGAGAAGATTTGGATTTTACAGATAACCTAGCTTTTCTATGTCATGCATATCAACAAATGTAGATGAAGATAACTAGTGTAGCAAATGCCTCTGAATCAGTAGATCTTAACATAAACAAGAGAAAAAGCAAGATCCTTAAATATAACACAGAGAACACCAGCACAATCACACTCGATGGAGAAACTCTAGAAGAGGTAGAATCATTCACGTACCTGAGAAGCATCAGTGATGAACAAGAAGGACCTGATGCACATATAAAGGAGAGGATTAGCAAAGAAACGACTGCATTCCTATAAGTGGAGAACATATGAACCTCAAAACAACTGTTAACCAATATCAAAGTCATAATCTCCAATATGAACATGAAGATAGTAATACTATATGTAGGTGAAACTTGGAGAACTACCACAACCATCATCAAAAACGTACAAGTATCTATAAACAGTTGTCCACGTAAGATACTAAATGTTTGTTGGCCGGATAGCATCATCATCAGCCTACAATGAGAAAGAGTAAATCAGCTTCTAGCTGAGGAGTGAATTGGGAAAAGACGTTGGAAGTGGATAGGACATACATTGATGAAATCCCCAAACTGTATTACGAGACGAGGTCCAACTTGAAATTCTAAAGGGAAATGAAAAACCAAAAAGACCAAGGAACACACTACGTCAAGAATTGGGAACAGATATTAAAATGATGAATAGCAACTGGAAACAAATGTAAAGGATTGCCTAGGACAGAGTTTGATGGATAATGCAATGATTGCGTTCCACTGATCACATTGTAATGCATTCAAAATTTCAGGCAGTTTGATATCGTACACTCTATCCTAATATGTTACATCATAGAAAGTAAGGGATATAAAATGCTTGGCCTTGATTTTATGAACCTACTTCAAATAAAGAATATTCTTCAGACTCTAGAATTCATTACTGGATTTCAAGCTCTACTGACACAAACGTTTAAATACAAACAACAAGTAGTAATTGTGTTATCAACTTTCACTGTATATTGCCAATAGATAAGTTTGTCAATTCATGACTCAACCTAGAACAATCTTCACATAACATATAACAGTTATTCCACACATTCAAAATGCTCAAACTCCTCATATGTTTATTTTTTTTCCATTGCATTGTATAATCGATTATAGAGTTACATAAGGATATCACAGAGTTAAACACATAAGTGTATTTTTGGGAAATCAATTAAACTACACCCTTGAATAATACATACATCATCATCACCATGATGGAGAAGATGTGTAGCTCACGTGAATGATTTGGGTGGAGTTTTGTTCACTGAACTGGATGGTTTAATTGTGGAGCTTTCATCGTTGTTCTGAATGACATCATCAATACAAACTTCAGGTAGAAGTGGAGTGTTCGAATTTATTGACATACGTCTCACAACTTGTCCTGTAGACCTTAATGTTGATTTGTCTTTGTTCAACACAAACCATAAATTAACATCAAGCTCTACAGGAAAAGTTGAGTTATATATGAATTTCTGTAAACAATTTCGTGGATGAATGAAAGTAAGACATTAGCACCATTGGTTGCTGGCCGGTTGGGTAGTCTACAAGTTAATCGTTAGCGTGTGAGACTGATAGATCTTGACATCGAATCTCGTGAGGCAGGATCGTAGATGAGCACTACTGAGGAGTCTCACAATAGCACGAAACGGCCGGCCAAAACTTCCATGATTTCGATGGTGGGCTGGTTTCAATTCACTCATGATCTCAACTATTAAAATGATATAGCAATTAGCAACAAACATTGTCAACAGTTACTACTTAGTCAATAACGAGAGAGAGATGATTAACATTCCCAGTTTAGCTGATGAACAGATGGTAACAAAAAATAGATCTAGATTGTCTAATATTCTGAACGATATAATCTCTAGGCTGAAAAAGTAATTTAATACTTTCATATCCAAAGAGAATATTAATAAACCAGTAATATCAATCTGATAAAAAGCCCTCAATAGACTCTTTGTGATGTACTTACAGTGTAAAATCACTATACACTTTTACTTCTATGGATAAACTAAGTATCTTTCTTCATTCAAATTACATTTCTATAATCTCCAATCTACAGATGATGGTGAAGATTTGTAGCTCACGTGAATGATTTGCATGAAGTACTGTTCTTTCAACTGGATGGTTTAGTCGTCGAGCTTTCATCATTCTTCTGAATGACATCATCAATACAAACTTCAAGTAGAAGTGAAGTCTTCAGATTTCTCCACATATGATTCACAGATTGTCCTGTAGAGTGCAATGTTGATCTACGGGTTTACTGGTCAACAACAACCAATCAATATTGAGGTCTACATGACAATCTATGATCCATATATGAATAAATTCGAACAGTTCACTTCTACGTGAAGTTTGTACTAATGATGTTATTCAGAAGAATGCTGAAAGCTCCACGATCAAACCATCCAATTCAAAGACCAATACTCCATCATTATCATTAATTTTTTCATAAAAAATATTTAAAACACTTTTTCATGTATAATCAAATAAAACACTGAATGCCATCTACAACAACAACAATAAAAGGAAAAAGAAAAAAAAGAAAAAAAACTGTCAACAAAGAACAATTGAATTTTTTCGCTTCTTTTCTTTTCATTACTCATTTTCTCTTTTTCTCTCGTATGTTTTTCTCTCTTTCAGATTGATTTACAAGATATTAAAAACATATATGAGAAATATTTTTATAAACCATTAGCTAAAGCATTACAATCAGAAACACATGGTGGTTTTAGAAAATTATTATTAATTCTATTAGGTTGTGAATCACCATAGCAACTAAAATGAATAGTAACTAGTTTATTAGTTGTTGTTTTTTTTTCTATTTTTTTTATTAAAAAAAAGTGAATTGTACACAATCAATTGATTAGTTAAATATAATGATGTAATAGTGTAATACATATTGGTGTTTTTATATTTGGTTGTTGTTTATCCCTGATCTATTCTGGTGAATGGGGAATATAACTTGAGAATAATAAAATGACGATGAAATTTTGTTCTCTGAGCTGATTTCGTTCCGAAGAACACTAAAAACTCTACGATCAAACCTTTTAGCTCAGAGAACAAAATTCCATCAAAATCATTCACCTGAGCTACAAATCTTATTCATCATCTCATAACAAAATTACAGATTATCTTAGTAAAATCTGAGAATTATACAGTAAATATATACAAACATGGATAGTGGTTAACAATGGAATCCAGTTTGATCCATCATTCGTCCTACTTGAAGATCATCAGCTGGATATACCTGCATCCCACTCTGGGTTCGAACCCAGTAACGTTCACTTCAAACGCCATCGCGTTATCCACATGCTAGCTACTGAGTCCTGATAGGTGCCTGCTTTTGCAGGGGGGGTGAAGTTTAAATTCAATTGCTACTGTTTTACTGGAATCTTTTCACTAATGTTTAGGACTGTAATTGATCTGTGTCTCATTGACATATGTGTATACTGTGCGTCTTGCCTCGATATTGCCTTAGGTCACAAGCAATTTAAGCAAAGATGGATAGTGACTAGTAATGGAATCCAGTTTGGCTCGCGTTCGGTCCTATTTGAGACTCGTCAGCTGAATTTACCTGCATTTAAGAGTTAATGTTCACTCTGTGACTCGAACCCAGTACCCTTCGCTTTAAATATTCAAGTAAAATAATATCAAGTGGATTCATTTAGTAAATAATTCATTTGCAAAATGTTCATCAGTTGTCTCAGACTTTATTATTTCTTCGTTTCCACACTAATCACTCTCTGTTCTCTTCGATCGTCTCAAATTTCACATGTCAGGCATCCTACTTTCGATTGGCGAAACATACTACTTATATCTGACGAAATCATTAGCACACAATAAACTATCATTTTAACAGTAACTGGTGTCAAATTAATGAAAAAGTAATCGTTTAATATTGATTGATATTATCAATCAATTGATTTGAACAACTAGTATTAGATCGTTACTTTATGATCAAAAGACGGATAGAAAGAATTCAGTTTTCAGCATAATTGTATATTAAATTATCCGTTATACTATGAAAAACAATATCATTAGATTTCTGGCTAGCGTTTTTTAGCCAGTTACTTTTCTACAGGATAGGGTTGCTAATCCCATGCCCAACCCTCCCGCATTTGTCCGGACTTGGGACTAACAGTAGCCTCAAAGGGGATCCAGGCAGAGTTGGTTCATTAGATAATCATTTCATGAGAATATAACGAATGACGAATGAGGTAAATAAAGGCGATTACTTCAGTTTGGCATTCAAAGACATTAACGAGCATATAAAGCATATATGCAGTTAAGGATGTTAAGAATCAACTATATTTCAACAAAACTAAATAGACAATATTATCAACAATAATTATACAAAAATAAATATGAAAACAAGATCACTTATGAGTGTTTGATTGCTTATTTATAAACAGTTTTTGTATAGACTTAATTGAAGTCCAAAATAGGGAGAGTGATTGATATACAGTGGTAACGCCATGTTAGTAATGCAGAGGTTCGGCATCATGTGTTTGGGCACAGAGACGATAATACAATTGGTGTCGCCATCTTGAAACATCGACTTCAGTGGCTGGGACATGTTCTACGAATGTTGTCCCAGAGGATTCCACGTCGTGCATTATTTGCGGACGCCGGGACTGGTTGGAAAAAGCGGAGAGGTGGTCAGTGTATGACATGGTGTTGTGGTATGAAAGAAAGCTGTACAGAACTGGCTTCTGTTGATCCTTCACGACTCCTTATTTGGGGTCCGAAATATGGTGCAACAAAGTGGCTAGAGACTTTATCAGATATGACTCAGAATAGAAGCCAGCGACGATCCTGCTGTAACTTTATTTTACTTTCTTCGTAAAAAAGACGTAACTTCTTTAAGTGGAAGAATTCCCTGTGGCTGTACTTTCACTAATTGATTTGTCTCTCCCATGACTATTATTTCACTATCACACACTAATTTCTGTTCGTTACTGTTCCCCTTTTTATTATACTCACTTTATATTCTTTATGTCTTCACAACCTTATTGTTATTGTATGACACATATGTATCTAGTGCCCATTTCTACCAATATAAATGCGTTCAAATAAAAATAAAAATAATCAGTGTTTGTAGATGTTTCTTATGAATACAGGCTATAAGTATGTTATTGTTGTTATCGCTCGTGCTTCTATCTTTTTGCGGAATATACTCCCCCGTTCGTATTTCGACTCCTCTCTCGAGTTAGCGGGGCTGAGACGCAACAGAATGGCTGGTTTATTGGTCTTTGGTCACAAGTCTCTGTTCCGTTCGCAGACTAAGTGAACTCGTAATCACTTCCAACATAGCAGTTATATTGAAATTTAAATCAACGAATTAAGTGATTTGCAAAATAGTCAGTAATAATAATGTATATTACTATCATCAATTAGAGTACTATTTCTGTCATCATATCTAAAGCAACTGCTTACCAGTGAACTATTGTCAATAGCCATATTATTAACTGATATGAATTGACTTCACTTTTTTTAAGCTACTATATATTGAAAGTAACTCTAATTGTATGATGTCTGCTACTTATATCCACATAAGTAGTGTATGATGATGATAGTCAGGATTAGAATGTCTGGCAGCAGAAGGTCGAGAAGGAAAGAACGGGAACAAAAAGCAATTGGTATGAAAATTCAGGAATAATGGATTCTGAGACGATTGACGGATATTTGCAAAATGGAACAGTCAAGTTTGAGACAGTTCATTGACATATTGCAAGTGAAGTATTTACTGTATGGTTCTCAGATTTCATTAAGAGATTCTGTAATTTTGTATCCAAATACATTTGATCGTCCTCACTTGTGTGTTCTCGTTTACTACAACAATACAGCATTATCTTGCATGTTATCTTGATTATAAACTGCTGAAAAGCTCTGTAATAAGATGAAACTGTAGTCTGGCACTTCTGCGGAGTCCCACAATAGGACGAAACGGTCATCCTGTGATTCCAGGTTTTCAAGGATGTTCTAACAACAATCGATACATGAGCTCAATAAAATATTTGTCTGTCCTCTAGCTGACCATCGTCATGGAACATTTAATTCTTAGAGCAAAATTACGATAGCTTTTTTCTCCATTCATCTTCAAGATTATAAATTCATATATGTATGGAAATCATTAAGGCACAGAAAGAAGCGAATTCCTACAATTGAAGAACGTATTTAGATGACGAATGTTAGGTTATTATACCTGGTTTTCGTGCGACCACACTTGGAATATGGGCTTCAGGCAGCGAGTCCTTGTTTGAAGTGTGGAGGAGATATGCTGGAAAGAATCCATCGACGAGGGACTAAGATGGTAAAAGGTCTATCTGGCCTATCTTATGAAGACAGACTGAGACACCTTAAGTTATTTCCGTTAACTTACCGTAGAATACGGGGTGATCTAATATTGGCTTATCGTATAATGAACGATGGCCTTGGTCTTAACATATCTTATCTTTTAATTCCGTCTAGGACTGCTCATTTGAGGGGACATTCGAAGAAATTTCAAAAACCGAGATCAAACCGTTTACGTCTGGAGTTTCGTTTCTCGCACCGAGTAGTGAATTACTGGAATTCTCTATCGGAACACGTAATATCAGCACCTTTTGTTGATATATTCAAAACGACATTGAACCTCTACAGTATTACAAACTGCAAGGACCAATATAAGTCGATAGAACTCGTATGATTATTACTGAAGACTGAGGACTGATATGGAACTCAAAATAACCGAGTTGGATGTAGACTGTTGTCAAGAGGCCTATGCTCCATCACGACGTGGATAATAGGCATAAGTAACACTAACAGTAACAGAAATCATTTGAATATATTGAAATCATACCCTCCTAATTCAAATAAATAAAACATTTTTTTGTCTTTTGTTCTTTATGGTTACATGCCAATTAGCTAAAATGTGTTGTTCTTATTGTTGTTCATTTTCAATGTAAAAAATATGTTTAGTTTTTAAAATAATAAAAAAACAAAGAGAAAAAAATTAAAAAGAAAAATTGAATGTACTTTTAAATATGCCAATATGATACAGAATTTATTGATCGATTTTAGTAACCAAGTGATAAAAAAACAATATAAAAATGAATTATTCTTTATTATCCCTTATCACCTCTCTCTCTTCCCCCCCACCTTTAGAAAAATATTATTGATATGATTATTTCCATAATTTTGATTTTTGGCGCCTTTAATATTGTATCCATGATTGATATGGTGTATAGAATTTATTATGAAATTATTGATTATAATGGTGAAAATCATGTTTCTCAGCGATTACACACACACATGTATACACAAACACACATACACACGTAAACGTACGCACATGCACACACACACACAGTAACACCAGAAATGTTTATATATATACAATATGCATAAATGATTATCCATTTGATTAATTAATAAAAACTTACTTGTCGTGATCTTGTGACAATAATGATCAATTGTAGAGATCAGACATAGAGACTATGGGGGAAATTTTTGTTGTTGTCGACTAAGTTTTTTTCTTTGGATAGTGATTTACAACTAACTTTATATGAATAAGTCTGTGAATTTGTATGTGCAACAGCTATATGATCTACTGACTTGTAGGTATGTATATATATGCATATGACAAATATGGAATTTTATGAAAGATTAGAGATTTTGATGGAGTTATATTCTCATACCTGGATGGTTTGATTGTGGAGCTTTCAGCATTCTTCTGAATCACATCATTAGTACAAACTTCACGTAGAAGTGAAC